TTAACCAACAGTAACATAATTAAATAATATAAAATATACCTTTTTCATTCTTTTCCACTATTGGCAAATCTTTGAAATTTTCTATTAATATGGAACATACTCGTATGTACGCGCGCCCATCTTCAAATCTCTTAATTGAATTCCTCACAAGTTTTGTCCCAAATTACAGGTCTTTTTTCTACTAGAGCTATCAAATGTTCCATGTTCACTTTTATGGTACTCATGTTTAATAAAAGTTTTAATTTAAATGAAAGGGTGGATAATACACGTGTTTTCGCTAACGCAGCCGCGACGAATGTGCACGCGCAAACTTGTTTACATAGTTGAGTAGATGTCTTAACAAGACGTTTTATGTAGACACGACATCGAACATCCAGTCGACAAAATGACTAGTATTCGAGTGTCTTATCCGACATAACAAAAAATATCTTGTCATATGTACGGTCTGATATAACAATCAATGCGTCTGAATTTCTTATAAGACATTTCTCATAAGACACAAGAAAATTTCTTGTAATGTGCAAAAGGCCTTAAAGTACCGGTTAGGCAAAAAAGTAGTTGCACTATTTGACAATAGTCAAAATGAGGTCATAATTTGACAGTGACAATTAACTGTCCAAGCGAGGCCTGTTAAAGTTATAGTAAAATTTAACTTTACTTAGCTCTGTGGTACAACTCACACTTAAGACATCTAACAAATTAAAGTTTGGGCTTTCCCTTTCATTGAGCTAGGAGATAACGTTAGAATAACACATGAATTAATACAGAAATTCTTTTCATTGTCGTCCCGAGTGTGGTCGTGAAACCGCGCAAAAGATATGGTGCAAATTATGTTATATTTCCTCTGATTCATATTTTATATTTCCTCACACATGTGTCGAGGACTGACACGAGTGCTGAAATGCGAACTTATTACGAACGATGCCAGCTGAAGGTTCAAAGGGTGTGCAATCGTAAGCGAACGAGCGCCCGAGCCGGACGGAAGGACCGGTAGCCCGGATGTCCGGTCAGCGCCGGCCGTCAATATTTGCTGCCTCCGACACGAGCACTTGTTGCTAACGTTGACAACCTTGTATCACCATATTGCAGCATATCAAATAATAAATATTTCCAACACTCACACCAATGAGGGCTATCGCGTCTGAAACCGCCGCTAGAGGCGCTTGTGTTGCGTGAGGTCTCGGAAATGTCAAATTTTATTGCTTGTGGGTCGACTACGCGGTTTTTTTTTACTTAAAATAATAGTTGTGAATATTTGGTAATAAATCAGACTTATTATGACAAATATGAGTTACGTGTCAATGAATGTCCGTTATTTAAAAGCGGAGCTAAGAAAAAATATTGTCCTCCTTTTTTCCAAACAAAACAGGACTACGCAACACTGTGCCATAGGCGATTATGTTTACAATACGATTCTTTTGTATTAAAATATGATTTAAATGTAAACTTTGATATCACGAGCGTGTTTACTAACTTTAAAAGCTACATTTCAGGACCTCACTCAACAGTGGCGCCATCTGGTGGGACAAAAAACGATAGCCCTCATTAGCCTAGCCCCAAAGTAAGCACTGTAAGACTTGTGTTATGGGATACTAGGGTAACGGATAGAATACATATTTTAATCTTAAAATATTCTTATATGTACCTTATATAAGTATATTTTAAAAGAAATACATATTAAACATCCTTAACTGGAGTACAAATGTTCGTATTCATCACTCAAACATCTGCCTCCACTGGGATTCGAACCCGGGACCTCTCGAGTCGGCGACACCATGAAACCCGGCGTATAAACCACTCGGTCACAGAGGTCGTCAAAAATGTTTTCAGAAGGATTTTTTTGGTGACGGTGATTTTTCTTTGGTTTGTTAGTATTTAATTATATACAGTTTTTTTTGTATTAACGATTCCAGCTGTAAGTTTAAAGCAAGCAGCATGTGCCAATTGTGAGAGAACGAGTCGCACGTGCCGCACGGAAGGACAGGGACGTCTGGTCAGCGCCGGCCGTCAATATTTGCTGCCTCCGACACCTTTCTGACACGAGAACTTGTTGCTTACGTTACACAGTGTTTTATGGAACCAAAAAAATTTACATGTTCAGATTCTTACATAAATAGATTATTTATACCCTAAAAAAGGCTTGAGTTCAATTTACAGAAGTCTAACTCAAATACTTTTTGAGAAAAAAAATCATGAACTTATCGTGACCTTTGACCTATGAAATCTAGAATATTTTTTTATAAAGTGAATATTAACAATATATTTTTTAAATAAATATGTGTCAATCGGGCATAACCAGAGGCGTATAAACGCGTTTCTTTAGCTTAAAAAAATGCATTGGTTTGGGAGCAGCATTTTTTTTTGTATTTCGTATTTATTGTTTTTTCTCCCTAAAAACGAAAAAGTGGAACCTAGAACTTAGATAGAAATAAACCTACAGATGTGGTCTATCATACATAAATAAGCCACGTGTCACTTTTGCGGCGTTTAGAAGATATTAATTTAAACCTTAGTAAAGGCAAGAGTTCAATTTCCCAGATCGATTTGCTTTCGGCCTTCATTATACGAACGGCTAGGGAGTGGAACTCCTTGCCGAGGTCTGTTTTCCCGGACCAATATAACCTGGACATCTTCAAGGCCAGAGTGAACAGGCATCTTCTAGGCAGGCGTGTACCATCCTAGGCCTCATCATCGCTTTCCATCAGGTGATATTGTGGTCAGACGCATTGCCTATTTTGCATAAAAAAAAATTTAATCCAAAATTTCATCACAATCGTTAGATCCGTTTCCGAGAAACCAATTACATACCAATATATTTATATAGGTACATACAATAATTGCTCGTTTATAGTATAGGATGTGTGTTAATTTTTTTCAAACAACATAGTTTATTTTTTCGTTACCGTTTAGCGTATAAAGTACAAAATTAAAATGTGGTCGTCAAAATTAAAACATAAAGTATTCCTACATTATCATATCTACATTAGGTAGATAGTATATGTAAGTATATTGTATTCGTCTATAAGTACAACACTTATTCAATTATAACATAATATACTTTATTCAATTGATTGACGGTATTAATTAACAAACAAAAAAAAATAACACTTTCATTTAACTCATAGTTGACCTTTGTTACAACCCTAGATCATGAAAGTTGACCTTTATCTAAATTCTGTCATAACTTCTTAAAACCGCAAAAGTGAAACTTGATTTTTTTATGGGTGATAGAACTTGGCTTATAGAACCTTTCTGTACTAAATCCAGGTTCCACTTTTGCCGATTTTTGGAGAAAAAAATTAAAAATCGAAATTAAAAAAAATATATATTTCTCGGAAACTAGGACACTTATAAATAAAATAATATTCCAAATTTATGCCTTCAATAATTCCTTAGCAAGTGGCAAATATCTCATGGACAGATATGGAACCGTCTTTTGAGGAAATTAAATTGTTAATTTTTTCATGCACAAATTTCAAAAACTTTGCTACTTCATATCTTTTTTTTTACTTAAAATAGTGATCTGGGAATTGAACTCTTGCCTTTATTAGGGTATAAATAATTGATTTATACAAAAACCTTAAGGTGTAAATTTTTTTGGTTCCATAAAACACTGTGCGTTATTGACATTCGAATCACCATAATGATTTTTTTTTGGTGACGGATCATTTTGGTCTGATCAATTAAAATAAATAACATGATTTTTGTTTTATTTAACAGTTACGCCTCATTTTTAAGGTCAGACGCTGTTCGTTTGTCCGCGCCTGTCTCTTTCGTCCCGCTACCAATTCGTTCGATCAGAAGCACAAGACAGAATTATATTGTCATTGTAATTCCGTGGCCAACAAGTTGACCAATGAATTATTCTACTGGTACAAAATAAATAAATATCCTGGAACAAAATTGATTATTAAAGGATTGATTGAATTTGGGATTTGGTTAGCAAAATACTTTGCGGTGCTTGAAGACTAGGTAGAACATATCACTCTGTGGTAGTACTACTATGAGTCAGTGATTATGGAAACATAATTCAGTTATATATATATATTTATATTTAATAATACTAAATTTTAAATGGTGTAACAATGTTTTGTTACTGGGCTTATTACAACTTACAAGAATCAATCTCTCTCTCACTCATTATTGAGATCCTTTACCTATTGGTTCCATTCGATAGAAGTTATACAGATAACGCACAAAACTTTTATTAAGTATATCCACATAGTAATACTCGTATATTTACGACCTGCCAACCTATTATAATGAAGAACAAAAGTGAATGGGATGGATAATTAGGCACGTAACTAGTGGCTCATCGACACAATTAATGCAATTAATTTACTAACACAATATCACGTATATAAGATATATAAATATATATCTTGTACAATCTATAGGTACTTAACAAAGTTCATAAAGGTTCATTTATCTATGTGTGTCTGATGTGAAGAAGATATAACTCAACCAATACGTCGATTTTTATAATATTAACTAACTTAGCGAAGCTTACCGGATAAGCTGATTCGATATTTGGAACCAAATTCCTCAAGAAAGATTTCACACTAACTACACCCACAGTTCAATAAAAAACAAAGAAAATAGTACCTTTATTACAAACTAGCGGCCGCCCGCGACTTCGTACACGTGGAGTTAGTTAGAAATAAAGGTTTACTGCTCGATCCCCGTAGAAGATAGCATGATAATATGTAGCCTATATGTTGACCCGACTTCTTAATAATATTCGTGCCAAATTTGAAGTAAATCCATGCAGGACTTTCTGAGTTTATCCCGGACATACATACAGACAAACAGACAAAAAGTCTAAAAACTATATTTTTGGCTTCGGTATCGATTGTAGATCACACCCCAAGTACTCTTTAAAAAAGAAATTCAATGTACAGTTTTGACTTTCCTACCATTTTATTATATGTATAGATAGATATGTAGCGCCTACTCACGCTAGTCAAATCGTTATATTTTTTATTTAAAATAGCACTTACCATATTGATGTTAGTTATGATGTGTATTTAAAAGGATCTGTAAAAAGAGAAATGGAGATATTAATTACGCTTTTTTTACAATGTATATGTACAGTCATCATCATATCACGTTATCACAATTTAGTATATTCTACACAATGTGTTAAATTATGTGAATCTAATTGAATATTTAAGGTTAAATTCAAGAGAAGTACATTGAAACTACTACAGGAGAACAAAGGACTGTTTGACTAGTCTTCGTATTTGTTTCTTTATTTTGCAACCCACGTATAAACCTTCTATGCATCTTATGACAATTACAGAAAAATTACATAGCTATAAAATTCAGCGACCGCAACGTGTTTGTACTTAAAATATGCACCTATTGACGAAAGTTGAGAGTACAAGAATGGTGCTTGGGTCATAGTTTGTAGCAGGTGGAGATCTTTTAATGTCTATATTAGGGTCCATTATTGATCTTTAGCAATACAAATTTATTTTGCTTTGGTTTGTAAATGTATGGAACGGTTGGTACGAGATTTTACACTAACGAAGCAAATTTATTTGTTAAGAACTTAAGTACTACTAATATTCAAATATTAATTTATCTAAAGATAAAAAAGGTTTATAATTTTTTACTTTTCGGCGGTTTTTTTTGTTGTTATTAAGTTTTTATTTTATAATTTTGTAACTATAATTATTATAATATACACAGTGAACATTCACCCCTATATTCCCATCCTTAGGGTTGGATTTTTGTTTCTAAATTCATGTGGAACCCACCCTTTCCAATAGAAAAAGAATTATCAAAATCGGAATACTCTGTAAAAAGTTATGCGTGTGTTTATTTTTTTTTATGTATGTGCCATACATAAAAAAAAATAAACGTGTCGAATTGAGATCCTGCTCCGTTTTTTTCCTCGGTTAATAATGTCACATCTCAAAATAGAAAATGTATGTAGGTAACAAAACTCCTCATCCATTTTTTTTAAAGTTACTGGTATACCTTATGCAAAAGTTACTTAAAAAACCGTTCTATCCTTTTCGAAATTCGTAGTATTTTAACAAAATCGCGTTATTCTCCTATTCGTTTTGTCGTATCATAAAGTGAATCCGTACATTCAAAAATCCAATTCTTTAATCTTAGCTAGGGATCTATTCGCTTTGTCGGTTGCAGTTACTGCAAACGTAATACGTTTTCCACCCATTTTGAGCGTTAAACCCTTTGAAGTCACAATCAGTGTCGAACGCATGCATCTTCATTCTTGCTATTGGGTCATGTCTATCATTTCCCCTGCTGTGAATGGGATGCGATTGCCAATAACGCATTACTACCTATTTTACCTAACTAACGACAGCCGAAACATTTTACATTCTCTGGAGACTTGACGTGGTACAACATTATTAATTATTGCGAACAATACAACAAGGCAACATTTATGACTTTAACATAGATTGTCTTCTCTGTATAAACATTCTACTTATAAAAACATACAACAACAAATAGTTACTCAGAATTAGTGATGTAGCAGAGTTAATTGACCTCGTTTATTTGTGAACAAAAGGTGTTTTAATGCTAAAATACTAACTCTTTTGTTAATTCAAATGTTAAGTTAAAGAAATATGTACACAAAACAGTTGAGTAACTTTAGCAAGCCGCATTCAAAAGTAGCCCGCATATTTCTTGGTAAAGTTGAAGAAAGGAATTACTTACCATTGAATAATTGTATTTTAATGCAGAAAGGGTGGCAAACAAGCATTATGAAACGTCTGATTGTAAACGAACACTATAGTTTATAGGCAGTGACAACAATCCAAGTAGTAAATCGAAAATAATGTGTTATCTATAGTTTTTATTTTTCCTTTTCATTACAAGATTTTAAACTCTACTCGAACTTGGGCATTTTTTTGGATTTCAAAATTCAACAATTGATTTAATTTATATTTTGACCTCGAAAATACCTTATTAATTCCCTACAAACTATTTTATTATACATTTTTTGCTATTTTTGAAAACGAAATTTAAATTATTTTTAATAATATTTGCCATTTTAAAAGGTATTGCCATTTTGACGTCATCTAATGTGATAGCATTCCAATACCTACTTGATAGCGAGCGACCAAGCGTGTGCTAAAAGGTAAGCTAAAAAAATATTTTTAGATTTTGTATTTTTTATTTAAAAGCGTCAGTTTTTGATTAGGTTACGATTTTTATACTTATAGCAAAAGGTAAAAGTCGACTTCATGAAGGATCGAATGTGCCTAACACATTGTTTTAGTGGAGTGAACTAAATCCATCTTCGTATGTTTGTCGCATAACAGCAAACCGTGTTGATTGATCCATGGCTACGGTGCGACGCGACGCAGCACTTGGTTCCTAATTGCAACGGTTCTTATTAGAAATCAAAAATTAAGCAAACCATTACTTAAATTAGCTTTGATTCCTACAATATAATTTTAGAGTTCCGTAGTCGTGATAAGGAACCCTTAATGTTTCGTCATGTCCGTCTGTCTGTTTGCTTTTCAAATATTATTTATATAAATATAATTAAAAGAGGGATGGGGCACAGCGGATTTCCCGCTCGAATTGGAGCGTCCGTTTGGGGAAGCAACCTCCGCCTTTTTGTAAAGGAAAGACCACAGTAAATTAACACGTCATTTTGGTGGTGTTGTGTTTCTGCTGGTTAGAAGGGATCCGGGGCTTCACGGTGTAGAGGATTACTGGAGGTGGTAACAAGGTACGGCTCGGTGAGGATGGCTGGAGCTGGGTGGGGTAATTTCATGCACCATGAACAAAAAAAATAGGCTTTGATTCCTACAATATAATTTTAGAGTTCCGTAGTCGTGATAAGGAACCCTTAATGTTTAGTCATGCCCGTCTGTCCGTCCTCGGTTTAGCTTGGAGATTATTAGCACTAGAAAGCTGTAATTTTGTGGAGATATGTAATCGATCACGCCGACAAATTGTTAGAATAAAATTTTGATAAATATATTTTTAAGGTAGATCCCCTACATGTAACCTGCGGATACTTAGGGGTTCCTAAGACTGTTTTTCGATTAAGGGATCCGTTTGTGAAATATTGAACTTTAAAGTGCAAATTTTTGTGCGAGTAGGGCTTTCCCCCCCTCTAAAAGCTAAACTATTGACTTGAAAACCCTGAAAAAATTAATGATTATAGATAGATAGATAGATTAACACTTTATTATAACACCAATTATAGTGCTTATCATGAACTTTTAAGCAAAACTTTAACGGTTAAGATAGATTTGTTAGTTAAAGGGTAATAGTCGTTCAACTTTGGTTAAAGAAAATTTCTTACCTATTGAAAATTCCTTAGAAAAAAACATTAATAGTGACATAGTTGAAGTTATTGTAGCATAAAACTTTGCTTTACAACAAAATCTAAAAAAAAGAATTTAAAAACCAAATATCATTAGTTCCACAATGCTACCGCGAGTACCAACGGCAACGGCTTCTGAGTCGCACTAACGTTACGTTTTTATAAAGTTTTTTTGAGACGCAGTTTGACTTTGATTAAGGTATTTTAGTTGAGATACATAGATTGACATTACTTGCATTTCCTAATTTCCGATATAGAAAATAAAGACTCCAGCTCAGATATATTGTGGTAACTACAGGCAACTACGGAACCCTACACTGTGCGTGGCACGACACGCACTTGGCCCGTTTTTAAGCTTCTCATTGACAGAAACTTATTAAAAAGTGTGTTCTGAATAGATTTAAATGGATTTCTTTATATTACATGAATAAGAGTTAACCTTTGACATGCGACCTCGCTTTACTTATTCCTTAGGGAAATTTTAAAAAGAAAATTAACCTAGCATTAATTAAAAAATATCTAAGCCACGAGAAAACGTCAATAACCACTTCATTGACATGTCATGTGTGGCTATCAGTGGCTCTCACCTTACCGTTAATACTGGTTCAATACCGATCAGCCTCGGCGAAGGCTGATTATAGGAACAATGGCGTTCTGCTGATGGACCGGTGAACCGACGCCGCCGTGTGACTGAAACACTTCACACTTAATTGACCTGCCAGCAAACGCCTATAGAGTGCCATGGAAATTGTAGCTTAAGAATGATCATTATTGCCAAACATAATCTATACTTATAATAAATCTGTAGAGAGGTCAATTCTGTACATGAAATATATTTTCAAAATAACTATCAGGGGGTGATTAGTGATCGATACTGATGCCAAAAATGCAATCAGTAAAAATTTTGTCTGTCTGTCTGTCTGTCTGTGTGTATGTTCCTTATAGAAACAAAAATTACTCGACGGATTTTAACGAAACTTGGTACAATTATTCTTCATACTCCTGGGCAGGTTATAGTATACTTTTCATCACGCTACAATCAATAGGAGCAGAGTAGTGAAGGGAAACGTTGGGAAAACGGGAGAAGTTACTCCATTTTTTCAGCTTCCGTCGCGTGTGCAGCCTTAATGGTTAAGTTACATAGAAATTATGTATGACGGAAATATTCTACATAAAATTATCTAAAAAATATTCCGCAACAGCATATGTCTATCTTTTATGGTTGACTCACAATAACACGTGTAACTCCTGATAGCTTAGCAGTTCGGAGCATTCCGATTATATAACGTAAATATGAGAATTTTAGTTTGATTATAAATACAGGTAATAAAAATTACCGTTTTTATCTATATATGTATATAAAAGTCAAAGGGGACTGACTGACATAGTGATCTATCAACGCACAGCCCAAACCACTGGACGGATCGGGCTGAAATTTGGCATGCAGGTAGATGTTATGACGTAGGCATCCGCTAAGAAAGGATTTTGATCAATTCTACCCCCAAGGGGATAAAATAGGGAATGAAAGTTTGTATGAAACTTTGTCAATTTTAAACCAATCGGGCTGAGACTTTGCATGCAGGTATAAGAGGAATCATAGATGAATGTCATTGTGTTTAATACAAGCCTGAGAAAAAAAACTATAGTGTACACTTCAGCTCTACACCGAAGCGAAGCGAGGGCGGGCCGCTAGTATTTAAATATATTTATATAATCT